AAATGGGTGTTTACCACTACAAAAGGTTTTCTCTCCCCCCACCCCACTCTCCTGTTGGTAATAGCTTATCTAAAGTGATCACTCTCCTTACAATGTGCATGATAATCAAGGTGGGCCATTTCCAACACAAATCCAGGGTTTAACAAGAACGTCTGAGGGGGGAGGGTAGGAAAAAACAAGGGGAAATAGGTTACCTTGCATAATGACTTAGCCACTCCCAGTCTCTATTCAAGCCTAAGTTAATAGTATCCAATTTGCAAATGAATTCCAATTCAACAGTTTCTTGCAGCTTATGCTCAAATAAATTAGTTAGTCTCTAAGGTGCCACAAGTCCTCCTTTTCTTTTTGCAAATACAGACTAACACAGCTGTTACTCTGAAACCAAAATTAGCTCTGATATTCCACAGTGGAGAAAGCAGATAATGCAACTGGTGTTTCAGGCCCTCAAAGTGGCCCATACCACCAGGTACAAATGCCCATCCCCAGCCTCTCTCAAGTCACTGAGTTTTGGAACCCATGTCCCTTGTCTAGTGAGTGCTACTTAGTTGATGGCGAGTTCCTCTGTCATAAAACAGTTCCACTGTCCTTGATTCACATAATCAGGGTAACAACACTTTATTCTTCCTGCCCCAATAACAGAGAATCTGGGGATCCCACAGCAGGCAAAGTGACCATTTGGGCTGCTGTGGGCTCATGCTAGGCGGGGTGGGAGTGCCTATGCAAACAGGATTGGCCCCTGAAGTTCTTTTCCACAACTTGCCACAATTCACCACCAGATGTCAGGGTAGAGCTCATCCTGACTCGGCTACATCCTCCCCCCAGCCGAGAATTTGTTCATCCTGACAAATCACACTCCCTATTATACCAACTCACTGGTTCCCTCCAAAGAAAGAAAGAAAGAAAGCCCTCTAGCTACCTCTGCCATAGGTGGCATGAGGGTTGTGTTGTCATCCCCTCCTTGTCCCCTGTGTCACTCCATGTCATGCCTGTCTCCCGGCAGATGTTGGTCTTCACCTTGACGCTGGTGAGCCTGCTGCAACCGGTGCTGTCGGCGCTGTCGGGGGCTGAGCTGTGGCAGGGCCTGGAGCACTGGTTCTTCCTGCTGGGCCTGCGACTGCTGGCCATGTACTTCGCCAGTGCGCCGTGGGAGAGCGTACAGCAGGATATAGCGTGTGCCTGGAGCACCAGCCAGGATGCGGAGACCCGGCGCTTCTGCACCTCGGTCTGCTACAACCGCCACTTCCTGGACCCCATCAGGCCCACCTGGGGCTTCTCCTTCCTCATCGCCCTGCTCCCCATCACCATCATCAGAATGCTGTCCCCTGAAGAGGATAATCAGGGCAAGGGGGGGCAGGAGGCTGTGGCTTTGGCCACATGCAACAGAGCCACCGAACACAGGCTGGCAGGAGACTCCTACATGGCTGCCAGACCCAAGATGGGAGGGCAATCCAACATGGCCACTAAATCCAACATGGCTGCCATGGTCCAGCCGATGGGAGACTCCAACATGGCTGCCAACCCTAAGCTTGTTGGCAAGACCAATTTGGCTGCCAGAGCCAACACAGTTGGGGTCAGTGGTGTGACCGGCTCCCCAGCAGGACCTGACACGGCCGCCCAGCCGCTCTGGCATGCCGGCATCATCACCGTGTGCATCGCTGCACTGCTGGCCACTGAGATCGGATTCCTGTGGGCCTTGCTTGCCCGGCAGTTGCCCACAGTGTCAGGAGCTTCCTTCTGCTGCTTCCCCAGCACCCCGGCCTGCCCCAGTGTCCTCGAGTGCGCCGTGCGGGGCCAGGCCGACAAGCACTTGGCACTGGTCATCTTGGCCCTCACGGCCTGTGTCAGTATCCCGGTCAGCCTGACCTATGTGGGCATGTGGCTAGGCCGGGCCACCTGTTGCCGTGGGAGACAGGAGGGGGAGCGGGCAGTGGAGGTGGAGGGAGGGGAGCTTGTGCTGTGATGGGTGGGAAGAATGGGAGATGGAGGAAGGCAGGGTGCTGAGGGGGGACTGGGAGAGTGGGAAGTGGGATGCCAGGATGGGGGTGAATGGGGAACGGAAGGGCCCGGGAGAGGTGGACAGGGGACTGGAGGATGGGGGTGGGGGGACCAGGAATGGGGCCTACTGGAAGGAGAGGGGAAGAGGCTGGGTAGGGGGGCAGGAGGGGAGCAGAGATGTAGGCAGGGAGTGGGGATGGAGGGGGGAATGGGCTTGGGGGTCTACAGGGATTGGTCTGAGGTGGAAGGAAAGGGGGTGAAGGGATGGGAGTGGAGGCAGGGGGCAATATTGGGAGACGGGCAGAGAAAAATATTCAACAAGCCCTTTTTGGGGGAGCAAATCTTGTGACTATCTACAGAGATCTGCATCTCATCAACTGGGAAGGACTTGAAGGTTCATGATACAATTTTTGAAGGGTCTGAAATTATTCTAAGGAAGACGCCCTGTTAGCCAGCGTTACTAGGGCCAGGATTTCCAAGGCAGTTTTGGTGGCATGGGTGGGACTAAAGAAGTGTGTTTGTGGGGGGAAAGGTTGGCTGAGCCCCCCGTAGGGAAGGGATGGCCGGGCCAGATGTGTCGGGGGACAGCCTGGCACATGGGGTCCCAATGCTACAGAAATGTGGCTCGCTCCGAAGAGGCTGTCATTATGACAGCTAGCTCTGGTCAATAGCTAACGGGATCCCACTTATGCACCCCGCTGAGCGCAGGTCATGAAAAGTGGGGGGAATGATCCTTTGGGCTCCTGTCTGCAGAGTCCCTGCTAATCCCCTTAGTCCATTCTGAGTATCCATGTGGGCACCTATCGACATCTTCAGCTGGGTGGACTCTGTAGGATTGGAGTGGGGTCTCGTGGGTTACAGCAGGGCAGCTGGGAGCCAGGAATTCTGGGTTATGTCCCTGGCTCTGGGAGGGGAGTGGGGTCTAGTGGTTCAGAGCAGGAGGGGCTGGGATCCAGGACTCCTGGGTTCTCTGGGGGTGGAATGGGGTCTAGTGAACCTTCCTATCAGCCTGTATTGAAACTGCCAAATTTGCCCCAAGGAGTCACCCAGAGCAGTAATTTCTTCACCAGTCCTGAGTTTTTGTGACCTTCCAGAGAACGAAGCACCAGGGGTTGTCATCCTGCTGTAGGCCTGAGACCGGATTAAACTCCCCCCACCCCCATATTAAACCAGCGTTGCGTGAAACTCAGGGAGTTCACCACTAAAATTAAAAAAGAAGAAGAAGAATGTTCTGCTGTTGGTAAAGCCCCCCACCTCAGGAATGTCCCTAATGAGCATTACAGCCACTGAAGTGGTGAAGTGGAGATGCCAGGTGCTGGGAAATTAGGGAGGATACGGAAAGAGACTCAAGAGATGGGAAGATAAGCTCTGACCAGCGTTTTATGCTGACCTTCTGCACCAAGAGAGAAGGTCACAAATAAGTTACCATTTGGGCATGAAAGATAAAATGTAAAGAACGTGGGCAGGAAGAAGGACACATAGGTGCCAGTGTGTAATTGGTTAAAATTTCTGTTATTTAGCGGTGTGGGATACTGTGACAGGTTTAGTAAATGTGAAGGTGGGAGCTAGTTTTACCTGTATTGTAAATGAAAAGCAATGCTCCTTGGGAACCATTTCCGGATTGCAGTTCAACATCAGGCTGCTGGAACTCTGACCCCTCTGCATGACCGAGATGTGCAGAGGCATCGCCGGGAACCCCCAGATGAATGAATCCTGACTGGCCATGGGCTGAAATTTGTCTGGATATTGGGAGTGGTGAGCATAAGAGATTTGCTTGGTATATGTGTGTTGCTGATAAATAGATATTTAGAGCACAACTGTGTAAGGCTTTTGCTGGGAAAAGTCTCCGCAGACCTGTAGAGCCCTGAACCCCGAGGGAAAGGGCAGGTACTTAAATTGACCAGGTTTCTTCCTGAGCCCCATGGGTAAAAATAGGTGCCTTACAGCCTGAGCCCTTGGTAGGGAAAGGGTGGGGGTGCCTAAATGGATTGGGTCACGCCTTGAGCCCTCGGAAGGGTGTAGGCAGGGTGCCCTAAATTGACCAGGTCACGCCTTGAGCCCGTGGAAGGGTATAGGTGGGGTGCCCTTAACTGAGCGGGCAACAGACTGGTGGAGAATGCGAGCAACCTAGGTTATTTGGAGCAAGCTGACTGAGCCTTATACAGCAGTTGGACAGAATATTTGTGCCCCTTCTGTCAAGAAGGAACTGCAGCCTGTTTGACAGAACGAACACTCTAGGGAATAGGGAGAGTGGGAATCCAAAGTTGAAAAGCCAGGAGGGATGGAAATTGGCAGAGGAACCAACCTTCCTTGCAAAGTGGGTAGCAGACCGCAGTCTATGCCCATAGGAAGATGACCCTTTTCAAGGAAAAATGCATTGGAACATGCATGTAAAGGGTGTGAAGCATCTTGCAATAATATGAAGCCTAAATTAAATAAGAGGGCTGTGAGAACTGCATGTGGGTGACTATGTAAAGTGTCTTGCAATCTCTCAAGGTTAGTAACATCTCAGGAGAACCAGTTAGGAGACGGTGAGTAGGAATTGGGTAAAGGATCCCTTGAATCAGTATAAATCCTCCCAGCATATCTGTGCAGCATCCTCTTCTGCAAGGTGCTGCTGCACTAAAGGAAAAGGGAGGGGAGTCCGGTCCCTGTCTATGCTGTATTCTGATAATTCAGCAGTCAAAAGGACATCCTATCATGTAAATGAACAGGGAATATCTCAGTATTCACCTCTCTTTGAAATGCACTGGGAATGGTGGAGGAATAAGCAAATGGCTTTATAGTAATTTCTTAATCTTAAGAAAAAGGCCCCAGATCAGGAACTGAAAAATCTGTTAATTGCCAGTGATAAGGAAGCAGAACCAGCGTAAATGCTTGTGGTGAGAAACCAGGAGCTCGAACTTGAACAAAAGGAAAAAATAGCTGATATGGAAGGAGAAGCTGCTGAAAGAAAACGCCTGTTTTTTGAACATGAACAGAGAATGGCATATATTCTATTGCAGGAACTAGAAGCTAAGGCAAAAGTGGACAGACTTAAGCTCCAACTCAGGAGAATAAAGGAACAACAGGAACTGTATCATCCTGGAAAGCCAGCTCCTCTCAACAACGAAGATGGGGATAGAATCTATCCAGTTTGTAATGATGTTTATACGTTGTTTGACTCTAAGCAGTTGTTTGTGTGTAACCAAATTTACCCCAACATTGTCATCTTTTATATAAATGCTCTTACTGTGAGCTGGGGTGAAGGTAACCCCATAATTTGTGCAGTAAAAGTCAATAGTAAAAGCAAATTACAGCTTCTAAGATCACTCTTGTTAAAGCAGATCTTGTCAAAGAGGAAGATTATTGACCAAATCAGAGTGTGACTATTGTAATCCTCTATGAGTTAATGTAAGTGTGTCTTTAGCCAGAATCCATCTTGAATGGAATGGTGTTAAACATGAAATTATAGCTGGTGAGAGAATGTTGTTGCCTAAGGATCTTTTGTTTGGGGATGATGTTAAAGCTTTGTTCAGTCAGGTTGACACAAACCAGTCACAGGACAGAAATAATCCTGAAGCTGTGTCTACTGGGTCAAGGATTTGCCTATGGAGGGTTTCTCCAAATGTTTGTCTGAGGAAGATGGTTGTTTGTCTGTGCAAAGAAGCAGTGCATATGTGGAAGAAATTTCTGAGTGTCTGGTATCTCAGAGGTGAGTCTCTAGAGCAAATTAAAGTTGGTGACCAGGTTAAAGCCCGAACCGAGAAAGGAAGGGGGACAGTCTTAGTGAGTGATAAATTGCTGGCTGGTAAAGTTTGGGGAAGTAAGCCTGACCCAGGTAAAAGTGATGTGCTAAAAGTAACTCAGTGTAAAAAGACACTATTGGTGGAAAATAGCAGTTTATCTGTTAAGGGAGGGGAAGGCAAAGAAAGTTTAGATGAGCCTAGGCAGCCTTGTGAGCTGATGGCTTTGTCTAATCAGCAGTGTGGGAAGGCAAGGTTAGGGGAATGTGAGTATCCCTACACCTTACCTGTTAGCAGTGTGGAGAATTGTGACAGGGAAGGAAACGTTCTTGTGTCTGTTCGGGGTAATGACTTGCCCATGAAGGGAGCTACCCCAATCTCCAAGCAGTTGTCTGTGAATAGCCATGTGTGCTGGGACAAGGGAAAGGATATCCCAAGCTGTTTGTCTGTTAAAGGGGAATGTTTCTCCAGCTCTTTTCTGTCTGTAAAGCAGACGGAAGAAGACTGTCAGCCTATGATGGTTAATAATTTGTCAGTTGACCCAGAGCTGATTCTGGATACAACGAAAGCCCAGGAAGGAAGTGGTCCTGAATTTGTGTCTGCTAAGGATGGTGACATTGTAACTAGGTTGCATCCAGTTGATGTCATAAATAGCTCCCAGAGACCAAGCAATTCTGCTACTTCTATTTTGCCTGTTGCTAGTATGTTACTGGGGAAAGATATGACAACCTTGTCTGATCAGGGTGATATCATAGCCAGGGCACAAGGAAAGCACGAAGGTGATTTGACCATGTTACTCACTGACAGTGTGGAATCTTGTAACGAGGAAGAGAATGCTTCTAATCTTGTGACTAAGAAGTCTAGCAGTTTACCTGAAAGGGGGGTTTGTGAAAATCCTCCTGATGGGGCAGAGGTGATTCTGGATTTAAGAGAGACCCAGGAAGAGTCTGTTGTTGCTCAGGAAAATGTTCCTTTACAGCAAGCCTTTAGGTGAAAAGGGTACGGGCAGAATTTCTGTGAAAACTGGGTTGTTGCTTAGAAAGATTCCTGAAGAGAAAAGTCTTTGGGGTAGTTTTTGCAAGCAGTTTGCTGCAAGTGGTGGGTGTGGAAGTGATCTGATTGAGTTAACTCAGGGTGGGTCACTATATAGAGAAAACAACAGTTTGTTTGGGCGACTTGTTCCAGATCCTAACTGCGAGCGTCTTTCTGAGGTGTACCGATCCACTGACTTTGCCTTAGAAAGACCCTGTGTGGATAGTTTTGAAAAGATTTCTGTCCGGGGGGGTCACCCACTCCGGCCCTGAAGGGCTTAAACTAGCCCAGCAGAGGGCTGTGGATGGGAGCAAGCAGTTCCCAGGCTGACTGGGGGAAGCAGGCCCAGCTGTGGCCACACCCCAATCAGGGCTCAGCTGGCCCTTATAAGAGGGCAGTGGGCCGGAAGCAAGACAGAGTCTCCTCCATCTGTGGAGGGAGATGGGCCTGGCTGCTGGGGAGTGTACCTGGGTACCTGAGGTGGAGCAGCGCTGGGGAAGGCCTGGGGAGCTCCAGCCTGGAAACTCCCCAGGCTGCAGGCCTAGTGGAAGGCCAAAAAGGGTACTGGGGTTGCAGAGGGCAGCCCACGGGTAGGCAGAGGCAGCAGGTCCAAACCCCACTTGCCTGTGATGATTGGCTTATACACCGCAGTCTGCCCCAGCGTGCGGCTCAATGGTGACTGGCAGTAGCCAAAGACTGAGGTGAGGTGGGGATAGTGGGTGGGGGTTCCCCAGGGAGGGGGAGACCCAGAGACTGTGGGGGTTCTGCCAGGGGGTAGCACCCTGGGTAAAAGGGGCACCGGGGTCTGGGAGGGACATGGGGGCCAGTGGCAAGTGGGACACTGACCCGCAGAGGGTGCTTCAGAGGCTAGAAGAGCTAATTCCCTGAGAAACCAGAAGGAGGCACTGCAGGGGTGAGTCACGCATCGTTACAGTTTCAAATGGAATAAAAATTGTTAGGGAATTTAAACAGCCCTATAAGCTTAACGAGCTTGTCGGGGAGACAATGTTGTCAGGACAGGACTGTCTCCATGTTGGTTCTTTGAGTAAACAATCTGTATCTCAGGTTCAGAGGGATGACTGGACAGCAGAATCTGCAGAGCAGGAGGACAGGAAAACAGGGGAGGGCAGGTAAACTCTCATCTCTAGGTATTTTGGATCTGTCTTGTAGTCTCTTAGTGGCCTTGACCTCTGATTCCATGTGGAAGCAGAGGTCGGTAATGGATGGACAAAGGAACCTTGAGTCGAACATGCTAGTGGAAATGGATAGACAGAGTCCAGCCTTGGAATTGGTAAAGCCTGAGGATCTGAAAACTAGTAAACAAGCTAGTGTCTGTGTTGATGCAAATTACCTGACTGACTGTGGGGAAACAGACTTGCCTGTACCTGTTAGCAAAAAGGACACACCCAGCCAGTCAGTGGATTCCGTTAAGCAAAAGAGCTCAGATTTTGGCCCTCCAGAAAAGGAAGGGAAAAAGTTTATTATGCTAATGGAAGCCACAGGGTGATCCCTAAAATACCAAAACCCCAAGGAAGTGGTTAAACTAAAAACCTATGATAAGGAAGACGCTAAGGTCAAGAAAAAGCTACAAAGGTTCAAAAGGGATATTGGACAAGCTGACCTGAAAATTATGCTGTTTGGTTCAACAAGAACACACTTTATTTTAAAAAGCCTAAAAACCTTAAGGTTTCACAGCTAATACATAGACACATTTCTAAAGCTTTCCACTGCAGAAAAACCATGACAAGATTGAGCTGCTGTGCACAAAGGGAAACTGAGGTACAACACCTCACAGCCTTCATGGCTGAATGCCAGAGTAAGTGCTCTTTAAAAAACATTAATGGGAAGTTAACACATAGACCAAACCCTGGGATCACTAAAGTGTTCCACAAAGTATGGGCTAAGTTTTTGGCTGAGAACAAAGCATGCCTCAGTAATTTGACCTTACAAAGAATTCAGTATAAACGCAGCTCATATCTGGAAATTGGGAAAACCCATTTATGGGTCTTTATCAAAAATGAGGATGGAAGAAAGCCTTATATCTGAAATAGAGCCCATATGGCATAAACAAGAGGAAAATAATTTGTTGATACTAACAAAGAATACACAAGCAATACAGGATAATATATCCCTGGCCCTGGCACGTACACAAGCTCAAAAAATGAGCCAGCAATTTGGTTTTTCAAGTAATTCAAAAGGATATGCAAGAAAGACTGCCCTTAGAAATTAAAAAATTACTGTGGAAAAATGTCACTGAAGAAAAAAAAATGGTAATCAAATGGCTATTCAAGCGTATGTTATAACTGTCTACACTAGCCGTACCATCAATATATACCCAATACTATCTATAGGGATTCAGGTAACAAAAAATTTAGTAATGCATTCAGTGGGTTACCACGCATGGGCACACCAAATATACGAATGATAAAAAACCATAGATGTATCCCAATGTATAGCTTATAAAGATTCAGGATACATATGTAAGAAGCAAAATTTGCAAATAAGGAGTGAGTGCTTTCACACAAAACCCAAGGGCAATCGAAGGTGCATGTTTAATGGGTTTGCAAAACCAAAATTCTCCATAATTTACGCAGGCAAAGGCGGTGTACGTGTAAAAACTCAGTGTCTGGAAATTATTGTAAATAATAATGAAATGTATTTTATAACATATTTAATAAATGTTTTTGTAAATGTTAGTAAAGTTAAGGGTTGTGATTTTAAATATGATGTACCCCTTTGGATTGTAAAATATTTGCAGTATAATGTCCATGTATTTAATGATATAAGACCTGTGAATGGAGGTATGAATATAAGTTTGGTTCAACAATTGCTAATTCACCTGTGACAAAGCGGGACTGTTCTTAATGTTTCCTCTGAATAGTGTGGGGGTGCTTCAGTTTCCCCTAGGCAGTTCTTAAGTATCTAGGGGGTGGGGTAAGGGTGTATGATCGTTGCAGAGCCCTAGAGGGCAGGTGTGTGCAGGGGTCTGGACACAGACAATGGCCAACACCCTGTTTCCTGGCAACTGATGGCCTGGCCCTTCCCGCCCTGCAAGGTGAGAGCTAAAGGGTCAGAGAACAAAGGAATCAGGTGACCACCTGGCCTGGGAAAGGGACAAAGCCCAGGGGAGGAGGGGCTGGAGGGAGTTTTCAGTTTGGGGCTGGCTGGGACATGGAGTGAAGGGCAGACGTGGTTGTCTGGCTCACTGCCCCCCAAAATGGACCCAGCTGAGGGGTCCTGTTCTCTGCACCTACAAACTCTGTTTTAGACCATGTTCCTGTCGTCTAATAAACCTTCTGTTTTACTGGCTGGCTGAGAGTCACGTCTGACTGCGGAGTCGGGGGGCAAGACCCTCTGGCTTCCCCAGGACCCTGCCCGCGCAGACTCACTGTGGGAAGCACACGGAGGGGCAGAGGAGGCTAAAGGCTCCGAGGTCAGACCCAGGAAGGTGGAGCCGGGTGAGCTGTGTGTCCTGCAGACAGGCTGCTCCCAGAGAGGAGACTTCCCCAGAGTCCTGCCTGGCTTTGTAGGGAGCAGTTCCTGAGCATCGCTCAGGGACCCTGGGACAGCACCCTATGCTGCAAGACCATTTGTGATGCATAAAACGCATTGAGAACCAAATTCCCATTGAAGTGCAGCACAATAATCTACGTGCGAGATTAACTGAAACTGTTGCCGACCGTACCCGGGAAGCACACCCTAGTAATGCAGCAGGGGTATCCTGTGGCAATGATGACTGCTCTGGTGAAATCGTCATCATGGAGGTGAATTGCAGGCCTGAGACCTGCTCAACTCCCCACATATTAAACAAGCCTTGGGTGAAACTCAGGGAGTTCACCACTAAAATTAAAAAAAATTAGAGAGAATGTTCTGCTGCCGATAAAGCCCCCCCCACCTCAGGAATGTCCCTAACGAGAGTTATGATAGGTGGACTGTGGGCCAAATCTAGACTGCAAGAGGCTTTTTGAAGGGACTCTGACATTTTTTTATTTACTCAATATTGTTGGATTTTTGTTTTCTCTGGAGTCTGGACGTTGACTATACGTTGACCAAGAAATTTGGACCTTGACAAAAAATAATAGACTACCCCGAGTGCAAACAAATCGTAACACGGTTTGGTCAGCAGGACGTAGGCTAAAGGTCACCTAGGAGCACTGGTGGGACAGAGAGGTGCTAAACAACAGTGATTGACGTATGACTGTGAGCGAATAGCATGTAAACAAGTCTAAAGATAGAACGGGCAGTTTGCCAACAGAAGGTGAAGAAGCCGGATGCTGTCACGTGTGTGAAGATGGGTTGGAGGGAAGGTATAAAAGCGAGTGTCTGGCCGTGGGGGGTCGGCGGGTGCGGGGCTGTGGAGTTGGGCAGGGGCAGTGCGGGGGAGCAGACAGACTGGGGGGTTTGTGGGTGGCACCGCTGGGGAGATGGGGCGGGAGTGGAGCAGGCAGCAGACTGAGTGAGCCTGTCGGTTAGCGCTGTAGTGCGGACACAGGACAGTGTAGTGTTAGCGGGTCTCTGTGTGTGCCTGGGGTCTGTGGAAGTATAACATTGTATAAGTATAACGTTGTATAAGGGGACATGCTGGATACATTGTATATGAGAGGGCATGCCAAAACATGTTACAAAGTATCTGAGGGAGCACACTTAGGGACAGTTAGCTTTTGAATGGAGAAGCAATTAAGATAGAGCCAGCACGTCTAAGAAGCAGGCATCAGAATGGAAGGGGTGAAGGGCAATTAGTTAAGTTAACTGGAAGCTGTTAAAGGAGATTGTTAAGGGTGGCAGGTAATTGAAGATACGTGACTGGTCTCAGGGATCTCGAAGGGTGGTGACTAATATCTTTTTCTTCTTTTGTCTGTAACTTCTCTGTAACTTGTTCTCCAAAAAACTGTATAAATTAAAAGACACAAGCCCCACTCGGGGGGGCTCACTTCTAAATGTATTAGCAGAGCAGCTTTGCTAATAAAACAGAGTGGTCTGATAAATTGTGAGTCTGAGTCAAACTTTGACAGGTCATGAAGTGTTACGTGTGTGTGTGTGGGGGGGGGGCTGTGAGAGGGATTTCGATGTGTGACACTTAATGAACAGCTATGCACCGCTGTCACCGCCCCGTGAACAACTCATCACCATAAGCAGGGCGCATCACTTAGTATCATTTCAAACAGGGTAAGGCAATGTGGCTTGAAGTATCTACCTTGTTGTAAGGGATTTGTGTTTAGATTATTATTGTCTCCAGAGTTGTTACTTGTTGTGTTCTGCTTCGAGAAGCAGAAAAAAGCAACCACCCAGCCCCTTTTACTGCATTCCAGGTCTCTGGCTCCCAACCAGCACCTAGGTCCAGTGCAGTGAGAAGTTATCTAAAAACTCTGCTCATGCTACAAAATGTTCTTGCGACCCTACGGCCAGCCATATTGCCAGGTCAATATTAGTTTGGATCTTACCCAAAATACCAACCTGCCGGCCAGTCCTTTAGTCTGTAAAACTAAAGGTTTCTTTGAAAATAAAAGAACAAGAAGAAAGTTGTTAAATGAAAAAGCACTCAGATACATACCTAAGACTTCGAATCCATAGATCAGGTTCTTAACAGTACTGATGAGTTTGCTGGCTTGAAAGTTCCCCTAGAAGACATCCAAAGCTTGGAAGGGTCATTCAGTCCTTTATTTAGTGCTTTAATTTGTAGAAAAGTTCCTCCAGAGGTAAGAAGCAGGATTAAAACAAACTGGACATGATGCAGCTGCCTTTTTATATCCTTTGCCATGTGTCTTGTACATCCTCTGTCCCAAACACAAACTCACAGCACATGGGCATGGAAAAGCTCTTGGAGTCCCCTGTCCATAGGTGTGTCCCTACATGTCCTGCTGACTCATAGGTGTAAGCATGGCTTCTCTCAATGGGTTCATTGTGCAGCTGATTGCCTTTGATAGGCCATCAAGCAGGCTGGATAGTGCTTATGCCAATCTGTCTGGGGCTGTCACCCAGATACACAGCACAAGTTGGACATACAGATATACCACACATAGTTATAACTCACAATACCAAGATGATATGTAGCTATAAACATGATTATCCTATTTAGCAAATTATAACTTTTCCACTGATACCTTAGAGGGCGTATCTGGTAAGATTCATTGCCATTTTATAATATTGCTATCAATAATATCATAATAAAGTGTCTCATATATTCCATACAGCATCACACTTGTATCAATAAAAAGGTGCCCTGTTTTGGAAAGGGTACTGCATGTGACAATCATTTATCAGAGGGGTGTATCCATGTCTTCCAAGTATTCCTTATCCACTCTGCCGCCCCTTTCCAAAGGGAGAACAGATTAAGGGGACACTAGGTTGGCTATTCTGGGGGCACCCCAAAACCTGTTTTTGGGGTAACATGTGGAAGTGAATATCCTAGCCCCCAGTACAGCCTGATACATAAGTTTTAAGGAAGATGGGACCCCTATGACTAATTCATATGACCTCCTGTATAACTGAGGGCACAGGACTACCCTGAATTAATTCCTCTTGGAACTAGAGCTTTTAGAACACATCCACTCTAGATTTAAAAATGGCCAGTGATGAAATATCCACCACCCCCGCTGGTAGGTAATTCTAATACCAGTCAGCTCTGTGTTTTTGGAGAACCAGGGCACAGTATCTAGCCTCTCTGACTTATGAAAGATACCCCCCCACTCCCAGTCTCTGCTTGAACCAAAACAGATCAGAGAAAAGACTTGCAGAGAGCAGTAAAGGGTGTCGGAAGACACACCTAGACCCTTCCTGGCAAGGGTGACAAGATTAAGACATCTCCATTAGCATACAATGCAGAACAGAGACAACTCCCCTAGCCTCATCTGCATGAAAGCTGGGAAAGGGATTAGCATAAAGAATGAAGAACAGAGAACCGCACTGAACTCTGAGACCAGAAAAGCAGGGACGCACTGCATCATGGGAATCCCTGCTCCAGATGTTAATGAACCTACTCCTGCGCACACCTAGCTCAGCAATTATCAGACCAATTCTAGTAATGAATCCTTGATTGATGTCCAAAATACTGAAGCAGCCTAGTTGCATTGTGAGCTCCCTGGAAGAAAACACCACCCAGAGCCAAAAGTGATCAGCTCCTATTGTCTAGCCTAAAGAAAATCTTTAAGTCATCAGTTTACCTATAAAAAAATCTAGTGTTCTCCCTTGAACCATTGTATTTTCTCTACAAAAACCTCTACTCACCCTCCAGTCAGTGTTCTGATGCCTGGATCCAAACTCCGTATCAGTTCCACTGGGACGCCATCTTCTCCTGACTGATCATGCCGGGGGCTCCGCCTGTCTCCTGCCCTCAGGAGCTTCCACCATCACCTGGGAACCCCGACCAGTTCAAGCCTCATGGAGTGGGAGAGATCCCCCTCTCCCCCCCCCCCCGTTTTCCTTTCTACCTCAGATATTAACCTTTACTAATGTACGTTATATTGGTTTGGGCTCTCCTTGGGTAGTTATCACTATTATTCAATAAATAACTTCTATGGTTAAGCTGGTTGCTTCTCTCTCTCTCTCTGAACTTTACTCTTTTTTGTTTTCAGCTTCCCCCATTTACTTTGCAGCAAGGCTCCTCGTCCCTAAGCTAAAGATCCCTGCAGTGCCCAAAAATCCTGTGGGGTTTGCTCATCAAGTGGGTTACTACCTGTGCAATTGTGACTTGAAGGTGGGATAGGGTCATGTTAAACATGTGGCATATAAGGTGGGGGGTAGCTGAAAATGCTGCTTAACCCAGCCCATTGAGTACAGGGACAGATAAGCTTGAGAGTGCTGATTGACCCAGTCCGCTCAGACTTGCTCTGTTAGTGTGTGTGTGTGTGTGTGTTTATCTGGTTCTGGGGCTGGAGGAACCCAGTCCTGGGAAACCGAGGCCCTGCAGGACAGCTCCATTGGGAGGGGACGTGCAGCAGGGAGAAGCAGAGCTCCGTATGAGAACACAAGGGACACAAGCAGCACGTTGATAGAATTACAGAACCCCTGCCCCCAAGAAGAGTAACCCTAATAAATGAGTGTACCCCAAAGTAACAGGGGCATCTGGTAACAATTCCAATGGTTAGTTCCCCTCACTGTTAAAACTTTGTGCCTTATTTCCAGTCTGAATTTGTCTAGCTCTGACCTCCAGCTGTTGGATCTGGACACACATTTGTTTGCTCAATTGAAGAGTGCATTATCAAAGTTTGTTCCCCATTGTAAGGGACCGGGGCATGGGTGGTCTGGCCTAGTGGTCACTGCTGGGCTGGGGTCTATATGTCAAGGACGGTAGTCGGTGAGCGGGGTCAGAGGAATCACCAGAGCCAGGCTCAAAAGCAAGAATCAGGGTCACACTCAGGATGGGGTCAGAGACTGGAGATCAGGAGACAAGGTGAGGTCTGGAGTGAGAGCAGGCCAGACATCTGTGTAGTTACCCAGACAACTTCCTGAGGCACCTTCCTGCTTTAAAGAGTGTGGTTGACCAATCAGAGGGCTGCAGTGTACACTCACTCTGGGTCCTTTGGGTGTTACTTTCTGTGGAGCCTACTCACTACAGGGCTCCCTGGAGGTGGCTCTGCATACCCTGCCAGTGGTACTGTGGGAGTGTCACCCGTCCCTGGCTTTGCAGTCCCCATGTGGGATCTGGGATGGTGCACCCCATAATGCTGTATGGAAATATGCTTATGAATGTATATATGACATAACTGGAATATGTTTTATGCTACATATGCCATGTAGGATATCTCTGCAAAGGTTACGATCTACTGAATCTATTCATCCTATTTGTATGCATGTATCATTTTTGTATTCGAAGTTATGAATATTGGTTGTGTACTTGTTTGATCTTAAGTAGCCTTAGTAAGGCATTTGGTCAGCTTCTTAAGAAAGGAATTTGGAAGTTAAATGCCCAATCAAGAAACACCTAACAGATAATGGAATCTTGGAAGACTCCAATCCACATAAGATGTCTACCAGGGGACGTTCAAGGTAGCATGTGAGCAATGGCTGCCACCTGTAAAGTTCTGAGTCACGCACAGACATGTGACTTGCCCATGTGACTCCAAAACTCCATCTTGTAGCTGGGATTCTACACAGGGGGAGGGAGGGGTGTCCACCCACAAGAGGGGAACTATATAAAGTCCTGGGAGATCCCTCCATTTTGTGTTCATCTGGCTCAAGAGATAACTTCTCCACCCCAAAGGAGACCTACATTTTCGGGGAGTTATCCCATGCTGTTTTTGGTCACAGCTCTTTTGTCCCCATTGATAGGTGCCTGTCTCATCTTTATAGTCATCAATCTGCCCTCCTCTGACATTTCAATAGGAGTGTGTTGCAACTTCCTGGTGCCCTTTTGTCTGTCTTCAGTTCCTCCCTAGAACACCTGGTTCAGCAATGGCCTTCACACTTATTTTTTAACACACTCATTCCTCATTCACACACAAAACAGAATTGATTTACACAGAACATTGGAACAGGAACATCAAATTGCAATGCAAGAAAAAAACAACCATTGCATTTATAGAATTTCAGGGTTGGAAGGGACCTTAGGAGGTCATCTAGTCCAACCCCCTGCTCAAAGCAGGACCAACCCCCAATTTTTGGCCCAGATCCCTAAATGGCCCCCTCAAGGACTGAACTCACAACCCTGGGTTTAGCAGCCAATGCTTAAATGACTGAGGTATCCCTCCCCCTACAACTAAGTGGGGACCCTAAAATGTCTGTTACTGCCTTGAAATCAGCACAGACACAGATTCTGGCTGATGCATCTCTACCAACGGCCCATTAGGCCCGTTCCTTTCTGCTTTCAGAAAGGGTGGCTGGCAGGATATGGTCAAATCATACACCAGTATATTTAATACATACTATATTATTAGTCTTTATTTTTTATTTTAAATTATACAAAATACAAACATAAAATCCTCCCACTACATTGAGATGTGGCCACCCCTTGGGTGAGGCAGAGAAAAGCCATTGAATTGAGTGTACAGCCTCACTTTGCTCTGTCAATAGAAACATAGGTATGTTTTTTTCCTATTTGTTCATAATTACACTTAACATTTTCTATCCCCAGCTCTGGGAGGGGAGTGGGTCCTAGTGGGTTACAGCGGAGGGGGCTGGGAGCCAGGATGCCTGGGTTCCCTCCCCGCCTCTGAGAGGGCAGTGAGGTCTGGGGGGTTAGAGCAGAGGGGGCTGGGAGCCAGGACTCCTGGGTTCTATCCCTGGTTGTGGGAGGGGAGTGGGGTCTAGTGGATTGGAGCAGCGATCCCTCCCAGAATAGGTGGAGCAGATAATCCCTTTGCCAGCTGATCTGGGAAAGGGCGGGGAGCTGTGTGTGTGGGAAGATGTTGATGGTTTGATGATAGCTCTGGAATTTCCCTCAGTCTGCAGCTTTCCCTTCTCTGACTGTTTGACTCGATGTACGCTGGTCCTGAGGGTAGAATTGTAGCTCCCCCCACCCTCGGGTCTGGATCCCATAGCCCAGAGAGATAGAGGATCCCAGGACGAAGGAGAGAAAAGAGTCACAGAGAGTGAGAGAGGAGAGAATCTCAGACAAAGGTATCAGGGAAATGGGGTGTCGTGCGGGGGGATGGGAATGGTACTGGAAGCTGGGCTGAGCTGAGACAGAAAGTACGGGGGAATGAGAAAGAAACACTGGGGGTTCTTGGGGGCAGGGACTGCCACTCACTGTGCATCTGCACAGGGCCCGGGGAGACGGGGACCCTGATCTTGGCCTGAGGGGGGTGGGGGGTGTCTGCACAGGGCCCGGGGAGACGGGGACCCTGATCTTGGCCTGAGGGGGTGGAGGGTTTGTCTGTGCAGTGCCCAGGGAGATGGGGACCCTGATCTTGGCCTGAGGGGGTGGGGGTGTCGTGCAGGCCCAAGGAGACGGGGACCCTGATCTTGGCCTGAGGGGGGTGGGGGGGTGTCTGCACAGTGCTCAGCACAATGCTGGGCCAGACCTCTGTCGAGGGAGGGAAAATCAGTGCAGCACCTGGAGCCATCAGGGCCCTGAACTTGGTCCAGGTCTGTAGGTGTGGCCATAATAAGTAACGATTACAATAATGGGAAGAATGAATGTAACAAAGGATGAAAGGAAGAAGAAGGCGAAATGAAGAGAAGAAGGGAAGGAGAAGGAGAGAAAGGAAGTTTAAATGGGTATTAATTCAGGGCTGTTCTCTGGCCTGTGGCATACAGGAGTCAGACTAGGTGACCCCAATGGGCCTCCTGGCCTTAGAATCTCGGGCTCCGAGGGCTTGTCTGGAAAGGCAGGAGTGTCACAGCTGTAGCTCCTCCGGGTTTACGTGACTTGCGCCCACGGGAGGGTTCCCCCGTGGACCTCGTGAATCCCCCTCCCCGAGAGGCGGCAGCCAGGCGGAGAGAAGATTTCTGCCATTGACCTTGCGCTGTTTACACCGGGGGTTAGGTCGGCTTAATTACACCACTCAGGGGTTTGCAGCTCTGCCGGCGTCAGGTCTCAGCGGAGCCCAGCCCTGGGACAGACAGACAGACAGACAGACAGAAGCCAAAGGAATGAAAGCCCGGGAGCTAGCTCTGCTGCAGGTGGCATGCGGGTTGTGTTCCCGTCCCCTCCTTGTCCCCCGTGTCACTCCATGTCACGCCTGTCTCCCGGCAGATGTTGGTCATCGTCTCCACGCTGGTGGGCCTGCTGCACCCGGTGCTGTCGGCGCTGTCGGGGGCTGTGCAATGGCAGGGCCTGGAGCACTGGTTCTTCCTGCTGGGCCTGCGCCTGCTGGCCATGTACTTCGCCAGTGCGCCGTGGGAGAGCGCGCAGCAGGATATAGCGTGTGCCTGGAGTCCCGGCCAGGATGAGGAGACCCGGCGCTTCTGCACCTCGGTCTGCTACAACCGCCACTTCCTGGCACCCGTCCTGCCCACCTGGGGCTTCTCCTTCCTCATCGCCCTGCTCCCCATCACCATCATCAGAATGCTGTACCCCAAAAAGGATCCTCACGCCAAGGGGGGGCAGAAGGTCGCTGAATCGGCCACATGCCACAGGGCCACTGAGCACAGGTTGGCGGGAGAATCGCATGTGGCCGCCAGACCCAAGAGGGGAGGGCAATCCAACAGAGCCACTAAATCCAACGTGGCTGCCGGGGCCCGGCTGATGGGAGACTCCAACATGGCCGCCAACCCCAGGCTGGTTGGCGCGACCAATGTGGCTGCCAGAGCCAACACAGTTGGGGTCAGTGGTGTGACCGGCTCCCCGGCAGGACCCGACATGGCCGCCCAGCCAGCCTGGTATGCCAGCGTCATCACCGTGTGCATCGCCGTGCTGCTGGCCACTGAGGTCGGATTCCTGTGGGCCTTGCTGGCCTGGCAGCTGCCCATGGTGTCAGGGCCTTCCTTCCCCTGCTTCCCCGGCCCCCTGGCCTGCCCCAGCGTCCTCGAGTGCACCGTGCGGGGCCAGGCCGACAAGCACATGGCGCTGGTCATCTTGGCCCTCACGGCCTGCTTCAGCATCCTGGTCTGCCTGACCTATGGGGGCGTGTGGGTAGCCTTGGCCACCTGTTGCCGTGGGAGACAGGAGGGGGAGCGGGCCCTAGAGGGGGAACACCTGAGGTGCTGTGAAGGGTGGGAAGAGAGGGGGATGGGGGAAGGCAGGGTGCTGAGGGGGCCCTGGGAGTGTGGGGAGTGTGTGGGGGATGCCAGGATAGGGGTGAATGGGGAACAGAAGGGCTGGGGAGAGGTGGACAGGGAACTGGAGGATGAGAGGGGGGGCCAGGAATGGGGCCTACTGGGAGGAGAGGGGAGGGGGCGGGGCAGGGGGGCAGGAGGGCAGCAGAGGTGGCGGAAGGGAGTGGGATTGGGTGGGGAAGGGGTGGAGGGGGTGGAGGACTACACGGCATGGTCTGAAGTGGAAGGAAGGTTGTCCAAAGTGCGGGGGCTATGAGCTTTTGGCAATCATGGGATTGCCCATGATAATCCCCTTAGTCCCGTCCGAATATCCACCTAAGTACCTACCTAAGTCTTCACCTGGCTGGGCTCTCCAGGACGGGAGTGGTGGCTGGTGGGTTAGAGCAGAGGGGCTGGGAGCCAGGACTCCTGGGTTCTATCCCCAACTCTGGGAGGGGAGTGGGAGGCTGGTGGGTTAGAGCAGGGGGAGCTGGGAGCCAGGACTCCTGGGTTCTATCCCCGGCTCTGGGAGGGGAGGGTGGGGGTCTAGTGGGTTAGAGCAGGAAGTTGGCTGGGCTGCTGTCCTTTGGGCTTCTGCTTCCCCTGGTGAGTATTTGGGCAGGACTCCTGTGTTCTGTTCATGCAGCGATCCCTCCCAGAACAGGTGGAGCTGAAGCTGACCTGGGAAGGGGCAGGGAGCCAGCTGTGTGGGAAGGTGTTGGTGTCTTGGGAGAAGCTCTGGGATTTCACTTTTGGCTTCAGCTTCTCCTTCTCTGGCTGTTTGGCTTGGGTGTGCACCTGGGCTGCAGGAAGCAACTCGGGTCCCTCCACCCCCAGGCACAGAGCCAGCAGCCTGGGTCGACAGAGGATCCTTGGACAAAGGAGAGAAGAGAGTGGTGATAGAGACTGGGAGAAGAGAGACTATCAGAAAAAGGTATCTGGGAAGAGGTTTGTTTGGGAGGGAGGGATGGAAATAATAGAGGGAGCGGGGTCAAGCCAAAGACAGAAAGAAAAGTGGAACAAGAAAGAAAAAGAAAGGAAGGGAATGAGAAAGAAAGAAAAACAAGGGAATAAGAAAGCAAACAAGAAAGAAAGAAAGAACAAAACCAGGGAATGAGAGAGAAAGAAAGAAAGAAAGAAAGAAAGAAAGAAAGAAAGAAAGAAAGAAGGGAATGAGAAAAGCAAGAAAAGAAAGATCCTGAAGGAATGAAAGCCCACTAGCTCTCTCTGGATGTGTGGCATGTGGGTACTGTGGCCATCCCCTTTGTGCCCCCCACACCACTCCCCTCCATGTCTCTCTCCGGGCAGATGTTGATCATTGTCTCCACGCTGGTGAGCCTGCTGCACCCGGTGCTGTCGGCCATGTCGGGGGCTCTGCGGTGGGAGGGCCTGGAGCACTGGTTCTTCCTGCTGGGCCTGCGCCTGCTGGCCCTGTACTTCGCCAGTGCGCCGTGGGAGAACGCGCGGGACGATCTGGCGTGTGCCTGGAGCCGCAGCCAGGAGGAGGAAAGCCGGCGCTTCTGCACCTCGGTCTGCTACAACCGCCACTTCCTGAACCCCGTCATGCCCACCTGGGGCTTCTCCTTCCTCATCGCCCTGCTCCCCATCACTATCATGAGAATGATGTACCCCCAGGAAGATGGTCAGGGCCAGGGGCGGGAGGAGGACACGGTGTCGACCAGACCCAACATGGCTGCTGGGCGCAGGTTTGATGGACAATCCAACGTGGCCACCAAACCCAAGCTGGCAGGGGAAGCCAACACAGCTGCTAAATCCAACATGGCTGCCGAGCCCAGGCCGGTGGGAGACTCCAACATGGCCGCCCCCCCCAAGCTGGTTGACACGACCAACACGGCTGCCGGAGACAACACGGTTGGCCTGAGTGGTGTGACTGGGCCGCCGGCAGGACCCAACATGGCCGCCCAGCCGCCCTGGCATGCCGGAGTCTTCACCGTGTGCCTCGCCGTGCTGCTGGCCACTGAGGCCAGTTTCCTGTGGGCCTTGCTGGCCTGGCAGCTGCCCATGGTGTCAGGGCCCACCTTCCCCTGCTTCCCCGGCACCCCGGCCTGCCCCCCTGCCCTCGAGTGCACCATATGGGGCCAGGCTGACAAGCGCATGGCGCTGGGCTCCCTGGCCCTCACAGCCTGCGTCAGCATCCTGGTCTGCCTGGGCTCTGGGGGCATGTGGCTAGGCCGGGCCACCTGCTGCCGTGGGAGACAGGAGGGGGAGCGGGCCCCGGAGGGGGGGCTGATGAGGGAAGGGAGCGGGTGTTGGAAGGAGTGGGGAGAGGGGGAGATGGGGGAAGGGAGGGTGCTCAGGGGGGACTGGGAGGGAGGGGAGTTTGGGGGTGGCACGGGGAAGGGGGTGTACTGTGTGGGGAAGACCGGTTACGGAGAGCAGCAGGCAGGGGACTGGAGGGTGAGAGAGGGGAAAGCGGGGCCCAGGAATGCGGGATACTCAGAGGAGAGGGGAGAGGGTGGGAAGAGGGGTGGATTGAGGAAGGGAGAGTGCTGAGGAGGGACTGGGAGGGAGAGCAGCGAGGGGGGAGGGCTAGGAAGGGGAGGGGAAAGGAGGTTACAGAACTGGAGGCTGAGGGGGGAACCAGGAACAGAGGACGCTGGGAGGAGAGGGGAGGGGGCCGGGTGAGGTGGGGAGGGGAGTGGAGGTGGCAGAAAGGATGGGGGATTGAAGGGGGGCAGTGGATTGGGGCATGGGGTGCTACATGGCAGGGTATGAGGGTGGAAGGAAAGGGGGCAGGGGTTGGGGGGATGGGATGGGATGCAGGGTGCATAATGGGGGTGGTGCTGGAGAGGCCAAGGCTGGAAACTTACTTTTTTTTGGGTGGGGATGAAATCTGGGCTTCTGCACCGTCCACCCACCGCCGGGAGCTGGGACTCTGTGCACGGATTGAAGCTGTCTTGGCCTTCACCCAAGCCCGGGAAGCGATGGGTTTCGCCTTCAATTGCCTCTCCAGATCCGCTGAGTTGGAACTACCTCGGGAGGCTTTATCTGTGTGAATAGCAGCAGCCTTTGCGGGACTCCATGGTCCTGTCCACGGTCTGTGCTTATAACCATGACGTGCCCTTCAAAACAGCAGCCAGAGAAATCAGTGGATATGTGCAAAATTCCCTGGGAATATCAGTTGAACTGTTTTTTCTGGAGTTTCTCCTGCAGAACATCTGATGGGACCACGATTTAGGACTAGAGCAAGATGTGACGACCATGCCTGGATTTGGTGACCACTTTGGCCATGCCAACCAGCCTGGACTGGGCAGCCATATTGGATGTGTTAACCTGGATTTGGTGGCCATATTGGATTTGCCAACTAGTCTGCAGTGGGAGGCCATATTGGTCATGCCAGCCAACCTGTGTTTGGTTTGTGTATTAGTCAAGCCAACAAGCATGGATTGGGTGGCCACTTGGCTATGCAAATGAGAGTGGATTGGGAGGCCATAGCAGATTTATCAACCGTCCCAGATTTGGTGGCCAGATTTGCCAACCATCTTGGGATCAGTGGCCGTACTGAATCTGTTTTTTTCTTCATGTGGGACTAAATCAGATGAATTTTATCACTATAGAACTAGTCAATATCTTTGCAATGAATATAGCTTTAGATGAAAAATGGCTATTTTAGGCCCCCCAAAACATTTTCATTTAGGTCTAAATTCTTCCCAACTGTGGCACAAAAAATACCAAAAGATTTTTCACTTTCGAAGACCTGAATTTTCCATGTTTGGCTTTGGTCAAAAAAACCCAAAAGATTTTACCAAAAAAATTTGAAATGCAAAACACAATATTGTGAACAACTTGAACTGGAACAAAACAGAGTTTGTAACTCAAAATAATTTTTTTAACCATTTAAATTTAATAGAAAATTCATTGAAAAGATTTAATTCCCTGGTGTAACACTCCAATCAGCATCAAGGTACCTATCTATGGCTTTCTTTCTTTCTTTCTTTCTTTCTTTCTTTCTTTCTTTCTTTCTTTCTTTGTGATTTTTTCTTTCATTTCAGTCAAAATTTTTCATCGCAACTTGGCTTTTTCCAGTAAAAACTTCCTAATGGCCATTTTTCACATGTCTACGCTCCAAAATTCCCATTTTCTCTCCCTTTTAAACTTTTCTGACCTTTTTCCGGTGACCAAAGCAAGTCTGTTTTTAAACTGAATTCCCTCCTCACTGAAACACAACAAAAACATTTCAGAAAGGTGTCTAATTCAATGCATTTTGTCTAAACACATTGTCCAAAATGTATCAACTGAATGAAACCTCAAATGTTTTATATAGCCATAAGGGGAGTGGGGTCTCAGGGGTGGAGAAACAAGGCAGGGGAGCCAGGAATTGGGATGGCAGAGGAAGGGAGGAATCTTCCTGGTTTTTCTCCCTGGCTCTGGGAGGTGAGTGGGGTCTAGTGGTTAGAGCAGGGGGTGCTGGAGGTCAGTTCTGAGAGCGGACTGGGGTCTAGTGGCTAACTACCTTTGAAAATTTGCCATTTCAGAACAGGGCGAGACTTGGAAATGAACTCAAAAGATGACTAGCTTTGTGAGGACGCTTTAACGCAGGTGGAAATACAAAGATGAATGATGTCAAGAGTCTTGTAAATACTATTACTAGCCATAGATCATAATTTGGTGGTCAACATTGTGACACTGATGGGTGGAGGTGAAGCTGTTGATGTCGCTTGATTAAAATACATTTTCCATTCATCATGCCAGTTGTTGTGCAATTTAACTTCAGCTCCTAGTCACCTGGAATTTACCTCCGGCTTCGACAGGCTCATACCAGACGCCTGTAGGATCTTTGCCTCTGAGGTACCCTTTCGGCTATCGGTTTAACAAAGTTTCTTTTCATCTAGGATCTGCCCCATAGGCAGAGTCGTAGATTCCACGTCCAGGAAGGGCGCAGCCAGGCCGGAGGACTGCCCTCAATGAATTCCTGTTGGAACTAGAGCATGACCTTTAGAATAAACAACCCTTCTTGAGTGGAAAAGTGACAGGGATGGAGAATCCACCATGATCCTGGGGGCAGAATAGGGAAAGGAAGAAATGTGTAGGTAGATCAAAGTGACGGGGAACTGAGTTACGGGCATGCAGTTCTGACTCATCAGGAAATCAGAGAAAGATCAGAGGCAAATTGGACGGGAGCTAGGAAAAGACAAAGAATAAAGGGAAGGGTCTGAACATGAAAAGTCAGAGGCGGGAGCAGGGCGGGGAGCCAGGACTCCTGGGTCCTCTCCCCAGCTTGGGGAGGGGAGCGGGGTCCTGGGAGTGGAGAAACGAGGCAAGGGAGTGGGGAATTGGGATGGCAGAGGCAAAGGAAAACAGGTGGAATGGGGAATCTGCTGGCTTGCTGAGTTCACCTGCGAAGTAGCCTCAATTAACCCAAACCCAATGCAGGGCAGGACGCTTGATGAGTCTCGAAGCCCGAACCGTGCCCTAAATACGGCTTGTCTGGCGGCCCCCCGCAGACAGTCTGGGACTGCACCTCGCTGTTCCTCAGGGCTTAATTTGTAATGAAAGAGGAGCTGGGGCTCTCGCAATTTTTTTTACTTTCATAACTGATGACACAAGCCCAGGGGGCAGGGGCTGAGCCCCAGAACATGCTGTTCTTGCCTGCAATGAGTCCGCAGGGACGTAGCCAATGAGAACTGTCAGTGGTGGGAACCCAAGGCTGGGATAGAAGAGGGTTTCAGCTGCGGGGTCGGGGGAGCAGGGCTGGGCTAGCAGGGGCTGCGGGTCGGGAATGAGGGGAACCGGCAGAGCTGGGGGGCGCAGGGCTGGGCTAGCGGGGGGCTGTGGGTCGGGAGTGAGGGGCACCGGCAGAGCTGTGGGGGCAGGGCTGGGCTAGCAGGGGCTGCGGGTCGGGAATGAGGGGAACCGGCAGAGCTAGGGGGCGCAGGGCTGGGCTAGCAGGGGGCTGTGGGTCAGGAGTGAGGGGCACCGGCAGAGCTGGGGGGGCAGGGCTGGGCTAGCAGGGGCTGCGGGTCGGGAATGAGGGGAACCGGCAGAGCTGGGGGGCGCAGGGCTGGGCTAGCAGGGGGCTGTGGGTCGGGAGTGAGGGGCACCGGCAGAGCTGGGGGGCGCAGGGCTGGGCTAGCAGGGGGCTGTGGGTCGGGAGTGAGGGGCACCGGCAGGGCCAGAGGGGAATACACCGGAGTGGACAATTCACCCCTGTCTTGCCCCTAAGGTGTACATTGATTTCTTTAAAAAAGAAAAGGAGTACTTGTGGCACCTTAGAGACTAACCAATTTATTTGAGCATGAGCTTTCGTGAGCTACAGCTCACTTCATCAGATGTGTACCGTGGAAACTGCAGCAGACTTTATATACACACAGAGAATATGAAACAATACCTCCTCCCACCCCACTGTCCTGCTGGTAATAGCTTATCTAAAGTGATCAACAGGTGGGCCATTTCCAGCACAAATCCAGGTTTTCTCACCCTCCACCCCCCCACACAAATTCACTCTCCTGCTGGTGCTAGCCCATCCAAAGTGACAACTCTTTACATAATCAAGTCGGGCTATTTCCTGCATAGATCCAGGTTTTCTCACATCCCCCACCCCCATACACACACAAACTCACTCTCCTGCTGGTAATAGCTCATCCAAACTGACCACTCTCCAAGTTTAAATCCAAGTTAAACCAGAACATCTGGGGGGGGGGGGGGGGGGGGAGGAAAAAACAAGAGGAAACAGGCTACCTTGCATAATGACTTAGCCACTCCCAGTCTCTATTTAAGCCTAAATTAATAGTATCCAATTTGCAAATGAATTCCAATTCAGCAGTTTCTCGCTGGAGTCTAGATTTGAAGTTTTTTTGTTTTAAGATAGCGACCTTCATGTCTGTGATTGTGTGACCAGAGAGATTGAAGTGTTCTCCGACTGGTTTATGAATGTTATAATTCTTGACATCTGATTTGTGTCCATTTATTCTTTTACGTAGAGACTGTCCAGTTTGACCAATGTACATGGCAGAGGGGCATTGCTGGCACATGATGGCATATATCACATTGGTGGATGTGCAGGTGAACGAGCCTCTGATAGTGTGGCTGATGTTATTAGGCCCTGTGATGGTGTCCCCTGAATAGATATGTGGGCACAATTGGCAACGGGCTTTGTTGCAAGGATAAGTTCCTGGGTTAGTGGTTCTGTTGTGTGGTATGTGGTTGTTGGTGAGTATTTGCTTCAGGTTGCGGGGCTGTCTGTAGGCAAGGACTGGCCTGTCTCCCAAGACTTGTGAGAGTGTTGGGTCATCCTTTAGGATAGGTTGTAGATCCTTAATAATGCGTTGGAGGGGTTTTAGTTGGGGGCTGAAGGTGACCGCTAGTGGCGTTCTGTTATTTTCTTTGTTAGGCCTGTCCTGTAGTAGGTAACTTCTGGGAACTCTTCTGGCTCTATCAATCTGTTTCTTTACTTCCGCAGGTGGGTATTGTAGTTGTAAGAAAGCTTGACAGAGATCTTGTAGGTGTTTGTCTCTGTGAGGGGTTGGAGCAAATGCGGTTGTATCGCAGAGCTTGGCTGTAGACGATGGATCGTGTGGTGTGGTCAGGGTGAAAGCTGGAGGCATGCAGGTAGGAATAGCGGTCAGTAGGTTTCCGGTATAGGGTGGTGTTTATGTGGCCATTGTTTATTAGCACTGTAGTGTCCAGGTGTGACGAAGTGGGCCTGTTCTTAATGTTTCCTCTGAATATTGTGGGGGTGCCTCAGTTTCCCCTATGCAGTTCTTAAGTATCTAGGCGGTGAGGTAAGGGTGTATGATCATTGCAGAGCCCTAGAGGGCAGGTGTGTGCAGGGGTCTGGACACAGAGAATGGCCGACACCCTGTTTCCTGGCAACTGATGGCCTGGGCCCTTCCCCCCTGCAAGGTGAGAGCTAAAGGGTTGGAGAACAAAGGAATCAGGTGACCACCTGGCCCGGGAAAGGAACAAAGCCCAGAGGAGGAGGGGCTGGAGGGGGTTTTCAGTTTGGGGCTGGCTGGGACATGGAGTGAAGTGCAGACGTGGTTGTCTGGCTCACTGCCCCCAGAATGGACCCAGCTGAGGGGTCCCGTTCTCTGCACCTGCAAGCTCTGTTTTAGACCATGTTCCTGTCGTCTAATAAACCTTCTGTTTTACTGGCTGGCTGAGAGTCACGTCTGACTGCGAAGTTGGGGTGCAGGACCCTCTGGCTTCCCCAGGAGCCCCGCCTGAGCGGACTCGCTGGGGGAAAGCGCACGGAGGGGCAGAGGATGCTGAATGCTCTGAGGTCAGACCCAGGAAGGTGGAAGCTGTGTGTCCTGAAGACAGGCTGCTCACAGAAAGGCGACTACCCCAGAGTCCTGACTGACTTCATGGGGAGCAGTTCCAGAGCATCGCCCAGGGACTCCGTGACAACTGGTGGCAGCGGTGGGATGTACTGCACCCCGTGGATGGCGCTTCCTGCAGTAAGTGACTGGGGAGCAGTAACACGAAGGGGGATTGCCGAGGACCAGGCCTGCTGAAGGCTCAGAAAGGAGCGGTTTCGGGGGGCGGTTAACCCCTGGGAGTGTGTGACCAGCGAGAAGTACTGTGCAGTAAAGGGGTCCCCCTGGGGACTGCAGTGAGCAGTCTCAGGGGCGGAGGAGTCTGCAGCTCGACCCTGGCAAAGAGGTGGTGAGCTCGAGAAGGGCTGGCACACTAGGGGTTCTCCCTGGAAACCGTGGGGAGCTGAGAACACACGGGCCTGTGAGTCCACAACAACTTGGGAGGAGCGGAGTGATGGCCTGTCACCGTCTCCTTAAGAAGGACATTGTAACCCTGTGCAAAAAGAGAGGGTTGAGCGTTGGAAAGTTCACCAAAGCAGAGTTAATCGTGCAGCTGGAGGAGGATGACCGCTCTAAGGAACAGATTCCTGATCCCAAATGGGGCTATAGCAGGATCTGGGAGCAGCTGGAGCGGGAGCCAGGCATCGCCAAGACTCCTGTCCCCGACCAGACGAGGGTCTTCACGATCGGGTTCCCCATCGGGGGATCGAGATGGACGGGACTGGAGCGGAGTCTGAGAGAGCAAGAGGACCGTGGGAGACAGCGAGAGCCCGAGAAAGAGCTGCAGAAGCAGCAGCAGCATGAACTGGTGGTGGTGGGGCGGAGAGACCTAGGGGACCTCCCCGGGGTGAGTGGGGATAGATCCCTGGGGGCCAGTTCCGCAGGGAACCTCGAGACTAAATTGCTGCCCCTAGTTAAGGGGGGGTGTGTGGATGCCCACCTCACTGCCTTTGAGCAGGCTGGAGATCTGAACCAGGGGGACCCTGCGGAAAAGCCCCGGTGTCTAGCTCCCTTGCTGGGTCCCAAGGCCACAGACTCCATCAGCCAGATGGGTGGGGAGGTGGACAGGCTCCCACTCCTGACCCCAACCTATATGTCTGTGTGGAGTTCCCTGGGGTCGGGCCCGTCGGACCCCCAGTGGGAGTGGAAGGTGATGGTCAATGGGGAGACATTCCTGGGGTGGCGAGATCCTGGGACAGAGAGAACTGGTGTCAGACCCTGGGTGGTGCAGCCTCAGAGGCTGAGGGCCTGTGTGAGCTGGGTGAGGGTCCCAGGGACGAAGCCCCTCGCCCTGCCTATGGCCCAGATCCCTGTGCAGACCCAGGAGGGGTTGGGCTGGCTGGCCGTTGGGGTGCCCCAGGACACCAGCTGCGAGACCCTGTTGTGGGGTGACTGTGTCTCTTTGGGACAGGATCCAGGCCCTGCTCCTGTAACTGCCGAGGGTTTGAATTTGAATCCAGGGAACCAATCGGTGGAGAGGGAAATGGTCAGTGAAAATGCAGATGACCTGGCTGGCAGCAGGGAGGAGCCGCTAGGCTCAGGCTACCTGCCTGCCTGTAACCAGACCCCTGGGGCTGGGTGGGACAGAGAGATGCTCCCTGCCCCCTTGCACACCAGAGCGGGGACTCTCGCTGGCTCTGATGCACTGAGGAAAGCAGCGAGCTCGCTGCCTGCCCCCACTGGGACAGCAAGGGCAGTGCTGAGCACAGTGGGAGCTGAGACCCCAGCTGAGTGGGGGGAGACACAGGCAGGGCAGGGGATCTGTGGGGAGTGGCAAGGTGCTTGGTAAGGGAAGTTTGGATGAGCCTAGGCAGCCTTGTGAGCTGATGGCTGTGTCCAGTCAGCAGGGTGGGAAGGCGAGGAGAATGGAAGATGAGAGTCCCTGGACCTTACCTGTTAGCTGGGTGGAGAATTGGGACAGTGAAGGAAATGGGTCTCTGTCTGTCAGGGGTATTGACTTGCCTATGGAGGGAGCTACCCTGATCTCCAAGCAGTTGTCTGTGACCAGCCTTGTGTGCTGGGACAAAGGGAATGAGATCCCAACCTGTGTGTCTGGTAAAGGAGAAAGTGTGTCCGGCTCTTCTTGGTCTGTGGAGCAGACAGAAGGGGCCTTTCAGCCTGTGATGGTTGAGGGTCGTGCAGTTGTCTCAGAGCTGGTTCTGGATTCAGCTAAAGCCCAGGAAGGGAAGGGTCCTAAGTTTCTGTCTGCTCGGGAGAATGGCCCTGTAACTAGGTCACATCCAGTTAGGGTCTATGTAAAATCCCCGAGACCAGACAATTCTGGTGCTTGTATTTTTGCCTGTTGCTAGTGTGTTGTTGGAAAGGGTGGAGCAACTCTGTCTAATCAGGGTGAGATCCTAGCCAGGGCACAAGGAGAGCATGAAGGTGATGTGATTGTGTTAACTACTGAGGGTGTGGAAACCTGTAGCAAGAAGGAAAAGATTCCTGAACTTGTGTGTGGCAAAGGGAAGGAGAATGCTTCTAACCTTTTATCTAGGAAGTCTGTAAGTTTGCCTGAAAGGGGATTGTGTAGGAATCCGCCTGATGGGCCAGAGGTGATTCTGGATGTAAGGGAGACCCAGAAAGAGTCTGTAGTTGCTCAGGAAAGTGTTCCCCTAGAGCAAGCCCTAGGTAAAGAGGGTAAGAGCAGAATTTCTGGGAGGGGTGAATTGTTGCATAGAAAAGCCCTGGGGAAAGGAATCCTCATGGAGTCTTTGCAAGCAGTTTACTGCAACTGAAGGGTGTGAAAATGATTTAATCAAGAAAGTTTCAGTTCCTAACAGCCAGAAATTTTCTGTTGTGAATGGATCCACTGACTTTCCTGTTGAAAGATCCAGTGTGGAGAGCTTTGAGAAGGTCTCAGATGGAGTGAAAGCTGTTAAGAAAGGTATACCGTCCTATAACCAAGTGGCTGTGTTTGGCCAGCTTGTTGGGGAGACAAGGTTGTTGGGAAAGGGATGTCTCCATGCTAGTTCTGTAAGTGAACAGTATGTGGCCCAGGTCAAGATGGGGGCCCTTAACCAAGAGAGCCCGAATTGCAGCCCTCCAGACTGGAGCTCTGGGAGAAAACCCAATCCCAGTTTGACCCCCTGGGGTTTTGGGGTGGCCAAAGGGCATGGGCTGCAGAAACCTTCCCACATGCAGCCCGCTAGTGCTATCGACCACCCCGACCTAAGGGAGGGCGTGAAACTGGAAGGGCCTGGTGTAACTCCCACCAAGGAATGGGAGAGATGCTGGGGCATCCATGGGAACATTGGTGGCTTCAAACTTCCCCAGGTCACCAGGTAAAGTGACCCCGCTCAGTTCGATCTCGAAGGGGGGAGAGATGTGACGAAGTGGGCCTGTTCTTAATGTTTCCTCTGAATATTGTGGGGGTGCCTCAGTTTCCCCTATGCAGTTCTTAAGTATCTAGGCGGTGAGGTAAGGGTGTATGATCATTGCAGAGCCCTAGAGGGCAGGTGTGTGCAGGGGTCTGGACACAGAGAATGGCCGACACCCTGTTTCCTGGCAACTGATGGCCTGGGCCCTTCCCCCTGCAAGGTGAGAGCTAAAGGGTTGGAGAACAAAGGAATCAGGTGACCACCTGGCCCGGGAAAGGAACAAAGCCCAGAGGAGGAGGGGCTGGAGGGGGTTTTCAGTTTGGGGCTGGCTGGGACATGGAGTGAAGGGCAGACGTGGTTGTCTGGCTCACTGCCCCCCAGAATGGACCCAGCTGAGGGGTCCCGTTCTCTGCACCTGCAAGCTCTGTTTTAGACCATGTTCCTGTCGTCTAATAAACCTTCTGTTTTACTGGCTGGCTGAGAGTCACGTCTGACTGCGAAGTTGGGGTGCAGGACCCTCTGGCTTCCCCAGGAGCCCCGCCTGAGCGGACTCGCTGGGGAAAGCGCACGGAGGGGCAGAGGATGCTGAATGCTCTGAGGTCAGACCCAGGAAGGTGGAAGCTGTGTGAGCTGTGTGTCCTGAAGACAGGCTGCTCACAGAAAGGCGACTACCCCAGAGTCCTGACTGACTTCATGGGGAGCAGTTCCAGAGCATCGCCCAGGGACTCCGTGACACCAGGAAGTGGATTTCTTGTGTGGACTGGACCAGGCTGAGGTTGGTGGTGGGATCCCACTTCCTGGACACTACAGTGCTAATAAACGATGGTCACATAAACACCACCCTATACCGGAAACCTACTGACCGCTATTCCTACCTGCATGCCTCCAGCTTTCACCCTGACCACACCACACGATCCATCGTCTACAGCCAAGCTCTGCGATACAACCGCATTTGCTCCAACCCCTCAGACAGAGACAAACACCTACAAGATCTCTGTCAAGCTTTCTTACAACTACAATACCCACCTGCAGAAGTAAAGAAACAGATTGATAGAGCCAGAAGAGTTCCCAGAAGTTACCTACTACAGGACAGGCCTAACAAAGAAAATAACAGAACGCCACTAGCCGTCACCTTCAGCCCCCAACTAAAACCCCTCCAACGCATTATTAAGGATCTACAACCTGTCCTGAAGGATGACCCAACACTCTCACAAGTCTTGGGAGACAGGCCAGTCCTTGCCTACAGACAGCCCCGCAACCTGAAGCAAATACTCACCAGCAACCACATACCACACAACAGAACCACTAACCCAGGAACTTATCCTTGCAACAAAGCCCGTTGCCAACTGTGCCCACATATCTATTCAGGGGACACCATCACAGGGCCTAATAACATCAGCCACACTATCAGAGGCTCGTTCACCTGCACATCCACCAATGTGATATATGCCATCATGTGCCAGCAATGCCCCTCTGCCATGTACATTGGTCAAACTGGACAGTCTCTACGTAAAAGAATAAATGGACACAAATCAGATGTCAAGAATTATAACATTCATAAACCAGTCGGAGAACACTTCAATCTCTCTGGTCACGCAATCACAGACATGAAGGTCGCTATCTTAAAACAAAAAAACTTCAAATCCAGACTCCAGCGAGAAACTGCTGAATTGGAATTCATTTGCAAATTGGATACTATTAATTTAGGCTTAAATAGAGACTGGGAGTGGCTAAGTCATTATGCAAGGTAGCCTGTTTCCTCTTGTTTTTTCCTACCCCCCCCCCCCCAGATGTTCTGGTTTAACTTGGATTTAAACTTGGAGAGTGGTCAGTTTAGATGAGCTATTACCAGCAGGAGAGTGAGTTTGTGTGTGTATGGGGGTGGGGGGGATGTGAGAAAACCTGGATCTATGCAGGAAATAGCCCGACTTGATTATGTAAAGAGTTGTCACTTTGGATGGGCTAGCACCAGCAGGAGAGTGAATTTGTGTGGGGGGGTGGAGGGTGAGAAAACCTGGATTTGTGCTGGAAATGGCCCACCTGATGATCACTTTAGATAAGCTATTACCAGCAGGACAGTGGGGTGGGAGGAGGTATTGTTTCATATTCTCTGTGTGTATATAAAGTCTGCTGCAGTTTCCACGGTATGCATCCGATGAAGTGAGCTGTAGCTCACGAAAGCTCATGCTCAAATAAATTGGTTAGTCTCTAAGGTGCCACAAGTCCTCCTTTTCTTTTTGCGAATACAGACTAACACGGCTGTTACTCTGAAACCATTGATTTCTTTGCGGTTGCAGCTCTGGGGTGCAGTAACCCCGACTCATCCCTGGGTGGCAGCGTGGAGCCACATCGGGGATCAGGTGAGAGTTCTCCGACTGTCTCCCATGGCACCCCACCACTCTCTTCCCCGTGGGGCTGGTCTGGAGCCAGCCGGGCTCATCATCCCCGCTCCAGCCGATCCGCCCCGAGGTTCTCCCTTGCAGAGCTGGGCCTCTTGCGGTGCCATGTCTAGACACCGTCTGGCGACGGGGCTCACCTCGGCTGGACAGACAGACGGCGCCGGGTGACTCTGTCCTAGGCTGCCCAGCGTCTAATGGGATCCACCGACGGGAAGTTGGTGGAAACTGAGCCCGGGGTGAGGGTTGGCTCTGCAGAGCGAGGACCCCAACTGCCCTGTTTCGTCCCCTCCCCATTGCACTTCCCCATCTCTGGCCAGCTACAGGGGAGAGGCCCAGTGCCGGGAGAGGCTGGCTCTGCCCAGGGAACCACCTGCCAGTAGGGCGCTGCAGAGGAGTCCGAGGAACGGAGCCCGGAGCTGCGAGTGGACCAGGCTGGAAGTGCCGGACGGCCCAGCCGGGTGCAGGTTTCTGGGGGAGCAGCGGGGGCTGGAGCCAGAGCAGAGCGGCCCCAGAGAGAGACACCGACCTAGCCTGGGTTGGAAATTGACAAGTTTGCTGGAGCAGGGACTGGTCTGGAGACGGTGCCCCAAGGCTCGCCACTCTTGGCTGGCCTGCCCCAGGGGCCCAGCCGGACCCACGCTCGCTCACTTCGAACAGGAACTGTTGAAGTCTCTGCCCCGAGGGGATCTGTCCCCTGCCCCTTTCCCCCCAGTCCCAGTACCACACCCTTCCCCTGAGCCAGGTCTCTGAGCAGGGTGGCACCTACACGTACCTACGGTGCCAGAGCTCACTGAGCCCGCTGCTGGCACCCGAGTGGTTTGGGGCACAGACTAACTAACCCAGGGGTGACGCTGGTGGCAACGGTGGGGTGCCGATCAGCAGATTTGCCTGGGAGGGTTCCAGGGCAGGTGCCAGGGTTATGAGGGCACACGGTGGGTGGAAACGAACAACCCCGCCACTCAAAGTGAGCCCCCAGGTGCCGAGAGCAGGAAGAGGCAGCGTAGGGCAGGCAGGGAGATGCGGTCGCCCATCTTCATGCCCAGCACTTGGGGAAGGCCGGGGCGGGGCCAGCTGGATCCACCCTTCTGAACCAGCTGCCTGAATCCCCGGCTGGGTTTTCTTGGCTTGCTGCTCCAAGGCGAAACCCAGGAGATGGCTGAAAGACAGAGACATGATGCCCCAGGGGAATATGCTCCAGCGGCCTCGGGCTCGGATCACAGGTCCTGAGTGGAACCGAGAAGCCTTCAGCCTCTGGAGACAGGAAAGGGGAGATGCTGCGATACTGGGGGGCCGGCGGGGGGTGCTATGGCATTCCTGTGCGCTGCTCAGCAAACGCTGGCCAGAGACTAACGTGTGCCCCGTGCAGCTGGAAGAGCGACCTGGGTATAGGGGGTGCAGAGCAAGGGGGCCCAGCCGCCTGGGCTGGGAATGGGACGAGCGGCTGGAGGGCGTGTTGAGCGGGCCGTTAACCAGCTGGTGGAGGAAGGGGGAGGCACCGTGACCCACAGCGAACAGATGGAGGGAGGGAGATGTGGGAAGCCACCGACCGCCGATGGGAGGAGACGACGTTGAGACCTTTCAGTGGGGCGTGGGTCCAGGCTGCAGACCAGCCCCCCACTGGCTGTGATGGGGACATGGCAAACAGCGATCACTCTGGCCACCCAGCGTTGGGCCACGGAAGGAGCCTCCCAGGAGCCCCTGTTTGTCACCACCGGGGCTTGGGCAGTCAGGGCGGCGGGTCTGGGCCAGTGCTGAGTCCTGGGGCCCGGGCGGGGCTCAGAACTGGGGTCGGAGGCAAAGAGCGGTAGACTGAATTCGGGGACCTGGGTCGGAGTCCTAGAGCTGACGCCAGGGGTCAGGACCGGAGTTCGGGGGTGGAAGCCGAGGGTCCGAACCAAGGCTGGGAATCTGAGGCCGAGGCAGGAGGCGGGCCAGGGCCCCCACCTCTTTGCACAGGCCTTCCTGGGCTGAAACAGGGTGGCTGGACTGATCGGGGGCACGTGGGACGCTCCCGGCCCGGCCCTGCAAGGCGTCGGGGCTCTGTGGGCAGCCCGAGTGGAGGCGGAGGCTGTCCCGTGGCCCCCAGCTCCTGTCCCATCCCTGCAGAACCTGACGCTCAGCCCCAGACGCTCCCGCCCAGTAGACCCCAGGACAAACCCCTCAGGGCTCCCCCAGCCTTGCCTTTGCCTATCAGGGTTAGCGCAAGGGGCACCCCAGTGCCCCAACTCCCCAGCGGTGTCCAGTCCCTGTTGCCGGACACTCCCAGCAAGCACCAGGTGGGCTTACGACCCAGGAGCGGGTCCTTTCTACCAACCCGGCATGGAAATCCATCAAAACCAGCCTCCGTCTTTTCCCAGGGGGCAGCCGCTGATGGGAGAGCGGAGAACGGGAGCAGAACCAGTCGCAAACACAAGTCGGACCCAGAACCGGGTTTACAACAGCGCCCGGGAGCCGGGCCCACACTCAAAAGGGGGCCCAGCCTGGCCCGCTCCACTTGTGCTGCACCCCCCAGCTGCCAACTCCTCTCCAGCCTCTGACCCACGGCTCCATCCTCGCAGCCGGCCGGCCCAGGGCTTCTCCCGCCCTGCCCTGCCCCCCTGGCTCCTCTCCGCCCCCCGGCCTCGCCTCCCCACCTACTGCTCGCTCCTCTCAGCCACGGCCGACCGCTCCGCTCGGGGCCCCCGGTGACCGTTTCGGGCTCCCCAGGGCCGGGGCCTGCCTTTCCCTGCCACTCTGCGGCGGGCTGGGTAAGTCGGCGGTTCCCCACCCACCCTGCAGAAGGCCACAAAGCCTAGTGCCTGGAGGTGCCCTGCCCCGTCCAGTCTCCACTCCTGCAAGTAAGTGCTTGTGGGTTCCCCATGCAGGCTTGGTTAGTGGGTCTCCTTGGGCCCCCTGGCCAGCCGCTGCTGCTCCCCCACAAACCCCACGCAGAGCAGCAGCAGCTGCGATGTCTGGCGGGCGCAGCTTGTTCCACGTGTGGTGCTGCCCAAGCTTCCCAGGGCATCTCTCCCGTGCCCCGCAGCTTGCCCCCCCTAGAGCCCAGCCACCCCCTGGCTCAGGACCTTTCCTCTGGGCAGGGGAAGGGGGATGTGCAGTGGGGAGGGGCTGAAGGGAGATGTAGGCCCTTGCTTTGCAGCTCCATCACGCTGGGAAATAGGGGAGGGGACAATGGGGTTTCTGAGCAGTAGGGTGGCTTTGTGGGCAGCTGAGCAGACTTGGGGGAGAGAGATGTTCAGCTGGAAAGGGTCAATGGAGGGGACACCCAGCCCTCCCTCATTGTAACCACTAGCCCCCACTATGCTCCAAGAGCCAGGGATAGAACCCAGGAGTCCTGGCTCCCTGCCCACCCTGCTCTAACCCACCAGCCCCACTCCCTTGGCAGAGCTGGGCAGAGAACCCAGGAGTCCTGGTTCAGCGTGTCGCCCATCAGTGATGACTAGATTGCACTGCCTCCCGAGAGATGTGAGTGCCCCCGCGTGCTCCTAAATCACAGAGAATAAACATGAGGAGGAGAAGCAGCAATGACACCAGCGTGGCTGCTCCAGGACCCTAACGAGGGGATTCATTAATTCCAGTCCATCACACGTCGCGCACGGGTCTGATTCCCCGAGCAGGGGCCAGGCACACACACAGACGCTCCAGAACTGACTGGCCCATCTCTGCGCAAAGACCTTCGTCTCAGCCTAGCCCCGAATGGCAATGAAATCTCCACCCTGCTCCAAGCCAGAGCGATCGCTCCCTCTGCTCCTGCCGCCTGCACGGTCCTGAATCGCTGAGACACAGAACCAGCATCTTCCCCCGCAAAGCAGGATTCGTTTTCCCCTAGGGGCATGAGGTACTCAGGAGGGGGAGGCTAACCTGGGGGGCTAGGACCCCAACCTTTTTCCACTGGAAAAGGCCCATTTGGGTTCGAGGTGGGCTTGGACCTGATTTTTAAGCCTGGGCGCAAGGGGGGGGCCAACAAATGTGTTTCACGCCAGGCCCAGAAAAATGAACCCGGCCCTGGTCAGACACGCTTCCTGGAGGCGAGAATGCGGTTTAGCTGGCTGCCGCTCTTGCTGAAAGCAGCGTCTTTCTGCAGAACAGGCTGGTTTTCAGCTGCGTGGGGATCCCAGAAGATTATGAATGGGCCCTGTCTGCCAAGGTGTGGTATGGATCCTGGGTTATTCTCCGGCGCCCCTTTGAACTGCACCTTGGCTGCTTGTTCCCCGGGGAACTGGCGCCAGGGTGAGTTCTCCTCCCGGTGCTAACTTGTCTTTCTTGTTCCCTTCGCCTGTGGCCGGATCTCCCGTTGTGTTGGGCTCGCAAGGCTCAGGCTACCTACAGAGAGAGCTCCCTTCCCTCTGGTCTCGAAGAAACCTGTTTCACCCTCGTTTGCTTACAGGCTTGAAGGCACAATATCTGCAGGGCTAGGGAATCCCTCCCTTGCTGTTAATATGTATGTTGCACAATGATATTAATGAGCAGCGTGTCGCCAGCTTTCATCTGGTCCCTCACAAGACTCTGTCTATGGATAAACACTGTGAACGTGGGGCAGGAGGTGCATAGAGTCAGTCAGGGCTGCTGACACAGCGTGAGCCCTTCGCTGGTTGGCACCGAGGTGCTACCCCTCTGCGCTGTGTGCCATGGCCCCCGCTGGGGGCAAGGCAGGGGTGTGTAAGGGCCCCATGGAGAGGGATGTGACACGGCCCCCCGAGAAGTGAGATGGGTATTGCGGCGGGGTGGTTGGGAAGGGAGACCCCATGGAAGGGCTGGAAGCACCCTCATGAGGTTGACTGGAGTTGCCGGGCCATGGGCAAAGGCCTGAGAAGCTGTTTCTCTGTGTGAGAGCTGCCAACGTGACAAGGGGACCCCATGTCATGTGCCATGCCTGGGGCTGAAAGATGCATCGTCTGCCCTCTGGGAGCCCAGGGGCTGCGCCTGTAGACTTGGCCAGGGAGGAAGAGGGAGGGATACGGTCTGTGAGGGCTATTGACAAGAGAGCGACGTTACCATGAGAACCGTGTACCCCCTCCCAGGGACTAGTGACACCCTGGACTCACTGGCAAAGTCCCATTGGGTATGTGCCCTGCCCTGGGTGCACCCCATGGAACCGACAGAAGAAGACGACGTTCACCACCAGACATTTCACATTTAGCGTCATGCCTTTTGGAGTCTGTGATGCCCCGGATCGTTCCAAAGGCCAACGGGCATTGCATCAGCCGGGACATCCCGCCTGGTGTCTCTCAACAACACCGTCCTCACCAGGAGGGTGCGTGAGGAGCCCCAGCGGGAGCTGGGAGCTCTGCTGGAGAGGCCATCCCAGCAACATCGTGGGGTGAAACCAGGAAAATGCAATTTTGTTCTGGGGTGAAGTAAATTACCTAGGGTGTGTGGTCACAAGGGGGACACAGGGACAGACCCTGACCAGGTGGAGGACATCTGACCCTGACCCATGCCATCACCCGTCACTGAGGTGCAGAGTTGCGTTGGGCCTGCCATCATACAACCGGAGAGAGAGCCACCGCTGATTGTGCCGCAATCTCACGGCCACCACACAAGCTGGCAGAGGAGGGGCGGACTTAGGGCTTAGCTGCCCTCATGCCAAGAAGCCTCTGTGGAGCTGACGTAGAAGCTCACACATGTCCCACTATTGCACCCAGATCCTCAGCTCCCGTGCACTCCTGACACAGAAAATTTGACCTTGACGCTGCCTGGGCTTAGCCCTGTGGGGACAAGGAAAGTAATTGCAGTTGCCTGCTGGCTCCTGAGCTCCGTGCGTGACTAGGAGACAGCTGCTGGCCGTGCTGACCTCCACCAAACTTTTTTGGGACTTCCTCCTGGGGGACGCTTTCCTGCTAAGGATGGACCATCCGTTGCTCAGGTTCCTTCTTAATTTCCGTGAACTCCAAGGGCAAAAGGTGCGGAGGCTTGAGCCACTGGCTCCGTTCCTGCACCAGGTTCGAAACCCTCCTGCGGAACAGAACATTTCTGCTGCTGCCCCATCGCGAAGTGGGAGGTGGGACAGTGCCAGCCATGAAGAAAGAGTCACCCACAACAGGGCGAAGGCACGATAAAGGTGTCAAAACTGGGAAGGCAGCTTTGACACATGGCCAGAAAGGGTTAAACATCTTGCAGGATTAATGACCCAAATTCAACCTTTAGGGACATATTGGTAGCTAATGTTTGCGTTTTGTGTGTTTACATATTGTGATGCTCTGTACCTTGGAGAAACACCCTGCATCCCCATGTTCATCCTTATAATACAATTATGTGGTGTCACGGAGTCCCTGGGCGATGCTCTGGAACTGCTCCCCGTGAAGCCAGGCAGGACTCTGGGGAAGTCTCCTCTCTGTGAGCAGCCTGTCTGCAGGACACACAGCTCACCCGGCTTCCACCTTCCTGGGTCTGACCTCGGAGCATTCAGCCTCCTCTGCCCCTCCGTGCACTTCCCACAGCGAGTCCACCCAGGCGGGGTTCTGGGGAAGCCAGAGGGTCCTGCCCCCCAACTCCGCAGTCAGACGGGACTCTCAGCCAGCCAGTAAAACAGAAGGTTTATTAGACGACAGGAACATGGTCTAAAACAGAGCTTGTAGGTGCAGAGAACAGGACCCCTCAGCTGGGTCCATTTTGGGGGGCAGTGAGCCAGACAACCCCGTCTGCCCTTCACTCCATGTCCCAGCCAGCCCCAAACTGAAACTCCCTCCAGCCCCTCCTCCCCTGGGCTTTGTTCCTTTCCTGGGCCAGGAGGTCACCGGATTCCTTTGTTCTCCAACACTTTAGCTCTCACCTTGCAGGGGGGAAGGGCCCAGGCCATCAGTTGCCAGGAAACAGGGTGTCGGCCATTCTCTGTGTCCAGACCCCTGCACACACCTGCCCTCTAGGGCTCTGCAATGATCATACACCCTTATCCCACCACCTAGATACTTAAGAACTGCATAGGGGAAACTGAGGCACCCCCACAATATTCAGAGGAAACATTAACAACAGTCCCACTTCGTCACATGTGGTATCCAGTGCAAAGTTTGTAATGTTGGGTGTCTTCGGGAGGTTCATGATGCACTGAGCATTGTTAGTATAGTAATGTTATAGGTAGTCATTTCATGTATATAGTTATGAGGCTGAAAATGTGTCCTCATGGCTTAAAAAAAGCCCAGGCAAAACTCTCCAGAAGCAGACAGGCAGTTTACACCTCATCAAGGCATGTATCGGACAAACCCAGCCCAGCCTCACAGAAGCAAAGGACACTGGCCTAGGCAACAACAAAGGATCTGTTGGACTCTCGAGTGAGTCACCCCCCTTCCCTTGGTCAGGTTGGGACTCTGATGAGATAATGCTCACCTGACTCTGAAGGGGGGGCAAAGCCAAGAGGGAAGAAAGGACATGATAAAAGGGAGAGACATTTGCCATGCTCCTCCTCTCTCTTCCAACTCCATCTACAGACACCACCACCAAGCGACTGAAGTGCTGATCAAAGGGGAGAGCCTGGCTGAAGGCAACCAGCCAGCCTGTGGTGAGAAGCATCTAAGTTTGTAACGGCACTGAAAGTGTTAAGATCAGCTTAGAATGCGTTTTGCTTTTATTTCATTTGACCAAATCCGACTTGTTGTGCTTTGACTTATAATCACTTAAAATCTATCTTTGTAGTTAATAAATCTGTTTGTTTCATAGAATCATAGAATATAAGGATTGGAAGGGACCCCAGAAGGTCATCTAGTCCAACCCCCTGCTCAAAGCAGGACCAATTCCCAGTTAAATCATCCCAGCCAGGGCTTTGTCAAGCCTGACCTTAAAAACCTCTAAGGAAGGAGATTCTACCACCTCCCTAGGTAACGCATTCCAGTGTTTCACCACCCTCTTAGTGAAAAAGTTTTTCCTAATATCCAATCTAAACCTCCCCCACTGCAACTTGAGACCATTACTCCTCGTTCTGTCATCTGCTACCATTGAGAACAGTCTAGAGCCATCCTCTTTGGAACCCCCTTTCAGGTAGTTGAAAGCAGCTATCAAATCCCCCCTCATTCTTCTCTTCTGCAGGCTAAACAATCCCAGCTCCCTCAGCCTCTCCTCATAACTCATGTGTTCCAGACCCCTAATCATTTTTGTTGCCCTTCGCTGGACTCTCTCCAATTTATCCACATCCTTCTTGAAGTGTGGGGCCCAAAACTGGACACAGTACTCCAGATGAGGCCTCACCAATGTCGAATAGAGGGGAACGATCACGTCCCTCGATCTGCTCGCTATGCCCCTACTTATACATCCCAAAATGCCATTGGCCTTCTTGGCAACAAGGGCACACTGCTGACTCATATCCAGCTTCTTGTCCACTGTCACCCCTAGGTCCTTTTCCGCAGAACTGCTGCCTAGCCATTCGGTCCCTAGTCTGTAGCTGTGCATTGGGTTCTTCCGTCCTAAGTGCAGGACCCTGCACTTATCCTTATTGAACCTCATCAGATTTCTTTTGGCCCAATCCTCCAATTTGTCTAGGTCCTTCTGTATCCTATCCCTCCCCTCCAGCGTATCTACCACTCCTCCCAGTTTAGTATCATCCGCAAATTTGCTGAGAGTGCAATCCACACCATCCTCCAGATCATTTATGAAGATATTGAACAAAACCGGCCCCAGGACCGACCCTTGGGGCACTCCACTTGATACCGGCTGCCAACTAGACATGGAGCCATTGATCACTACCCGTTGAGCCTGACAATCTAGCCAGCTTTCTACCCACCTTATAGTGCATTCTTCCAGCCCATACTTCCTTAACTTGCTGACAAGAATACTGTGGGAGACCGTGTCAAAAGCTTTGCTAAAGTCAAGAAACAATACATCCACTGCTTTCCCTTCATCCACAGAACCAGTAATCTCATCATAAAAGGCGATTAGATTAGTCAGGCATGACCTTCCCTTGGTGAATCCATGCTGGCTGTTCCTGATCACTTTCCTCTCATGCAAGTGCTTCAGGATTGATTCTTTGAGGACCTGCTCCATGATTTTTCCAGGGACTGAGGTGAGGCTCACTGGCCTGTAGTTCCCAGGATCCTCCTTCTTCCCTTTTTTAAAGATTGGCACTACATTAGCCTTTTTCCAGTCATCCGGGACTTCCCCCGTTCGCCACGAGTTTTCAAAGATAATGGCCAATGGCTCTGCAATCACAGCCGCCAATTCCTTCAGCACTCTCGGATGCAACTCGTCCGGCCCCATGGACTTGTGCACGTCCAGCTTTTCTAAATAGTCCCTAACCACCTCTATCTCCACAGAGGGCTGGCCATCTCTTCCCCATTTTGCGATGCCCAGCGCAGCAGTCTGGGAGCTGACCTTGTTAGTGAAGACAGAGGCAAAAAAAGCATTGAGTACATTAGCTTTTTCCACATCCTCTGTCACTAGATTGCCTCCCTCATTCAGTAAGGGGCCCACACTTTCCTTGGCTTTCTTCTTGTTGCCAACATACCTGAAGAAACCCTTCTTGTTACTCTTGACATCTCTGGCTAGCTGCAGCTCCAGGTGCGATTTGGCCCTCCTGATATCATTCCTACATGCCCTAGCAATATTTTTATACTCTTCCCTGGTCATATGTCCAACCTTCCACTTCTTGTAAGCCTCTTTTTTATGTTTAAGATCCGCTAGGATTTCACCATTAAGCCAAGCTGGTCGCCTGCCGTATTTACTATTCTTTCGACTCATCGGGATGGTTTGTCCCTGTAACCTCAACAGGGATTCCTTGAAATACAGCCAGCTCTCCTGGACTCCTTTCCCCTTCAAGTTAGTCCCCCAGGGGATCCTGGCCATCCGTTCCCTGAGGGAGTCGAAGTCTGCTTTCCTGAAGTCCAGGGTTCGTATCCTGCTGCTTACCTTTATCCTACCTGAAGCAGTGCGTCTGGTTTGAAGAGTGTCAGAGACTCCCCTTGGGATAACAAGCCTGGTACATATCAATTTCTTTGTTAAATTGATGAACTCATATAAGCTTTCAGCGTCCAGAGGGCATAACTGGACATTGCAAGATGGAGGTCTGACATTGCACTCCATATGATTTTATGAAAATATGCCAATGAGTGTGAATATAATGTAACTGGAATATGCTTTATGCAAAAGGTCTCTTGTAGGGTATCATTACAAAGCTTATACTCTACTGAGTGTGGTCATCCTGTTTGTATGTATGTATCATGAAGTCCTGCACAGGATCTTGTCTGGGGGATAAGGCGACACGCCACATTTTTTGGTAATACATGTATCCATCAACACTGTATCCTATGCATATGATCTCTATTACACTCATGCACTCACACACACACAAAGCACACTCCGTCTTGTTGTTACCAACTAGCTGCTCCCCTTAACTTCACTGGCCAGGTGAGTTAGATGGGGGAGGGGTGGAGC